GTGGGGAAACAAAAGATGGGAAAGAGAAAATAAAAAAGAAGATGATAACAAACAAAACAGGACCAAAGCAAAGAGAAGTCGAACCCAAAAGAAGTGGGTGTCAACCAAAGGTGAGATGGGTGGGGGTGGGGCTGGGAGGGCTGGCCAAGAACACTGCACTCACTGATGTGGCTGCACCTGACACATAGTAGGTCTTAGGTGGTGGACCACCACAGACCCTGTGGAGCACACGTGTGTACCAGGCATTGTGATAAGAGGAATAACAATAAAAGCCTCATTTATTGGGCACCCACTATGTGTCAGGCACCATGCCAAGTAGAATAGCAATAAAAGCCCCATTTTCTGGGCACCCACTGTGTGCCAGGTATGGTGCCCAGGGCTTCATAGAATAGCAAAAGCATCTATTTATTGCCTTGGCTGGGTGGCTCAGTCGGTTGGAGCGGGTTTGATTCCCAGTTAGGGCACATACCCAGGCTGCAGATTCAATCCCCAGTCAGGGCAAGTGTGAGAGGCAACTGATTGATGATGTTTCTCTCTCACATTGATGTTTCTCTCTCTCTCCTCCTTCCTTTCTCTCTAAAACTAATACAAGCATACCAGTGGATGAAGTTTTTTAAAAAAAGCATCTATTTATTGAACCCCTACTATATGCCAAACACCATGCCAAGTGCTTCATAAAATAGTAAATGCATTTATTTATTGAACATCTATGTGCTAGACATTGTGCCAGAGGACTAGCAATAAAAGCCCCATTTACTGAGCACCTACTATGCAGCAACCACCATATCAAGTGGAAAGGCAATAAAGCCCCATTTATTAGGTAACTACTATGTGTCAGGCATGGTGCCAAGAGCTTCACAGAGTACCAGTAAAGTATTTATTGAATACCGACTGTGTGTCAGGCACTGTGGCAAAAGAATAGCAAAAGCTCCATTTATTGGGTACCTACTGTGTGCTAGGCACAGCACCAGGGATGGGATAACAGTAAACACATTAATTTACAAAACACCTACTGTGTGTCAGAGGAATAGCAACAAAAACCCCATTTATTAGGAACCTACTGTGTCCTAGGTTCAAAAAGTAACAGTAAATGCATTTATTTACTGAACACCAACTGTGTGCCAGGGGGTAACACTACCAGGGAATAGCAATAAAAGCCTTATTTTTGAGCACTCACTATGTGGCAGCCACTGAGCCAAGTGGAAAAGCAAGAAAAGCCCCATTAGGGCCCTGGCTGGCTGGTGTCAGCTGGTTGGAGTGTCGTCCAGTACACCAAAAGGTCAAGGGTTCGATTCTTGGTCAGGGTGCATGCAGAGGGCAACCGATCGATGTTTCACCCTCACATCAATGTTTCTCTCTCTCCCCCTCTCCCTTCCTCTCTCTCTAAAATCAATAAAAGCATGTCCTCAGGTGAAAAGCCCTATTAGGTAACTACTATGTGCCAAGCACCATGCCAGGGCTTCAAAGAATGATAGGAAAATATTTATTTATTGAACACCTACTCTGTGCCAGGCACTATGCTGGGTAACAGCAATAAAAAGCCACATTTATTGGGCATCTACTATGTGCTAGGCATGGTGCTAGAGCTTCATAGGATAACAATAAGCACATTTATTTACAGAACACCTACTGTGTGCCAGGGAAATAGTATTGCCAGGGAATAGCACTGTTAGGGGAATAGCAGTAAAAGCCCCATTTCCATTTATTGGATACCTACTATGTGCATGGTGCTAAGAGCTTCATAGGTTAACAGCAAACGCATCTATTTACTGAACATGTTTTACCAGAGACCCCAGAGGCTACCTACACCCATGGCTTACATCATCCAGGACCACAGTCTTGGCCTCATCTGAAAATGATGCCAATGTCTTGAGCACCAACTGTGTACCAGTTAGCATGCTAAGGGCTGTACAGAATAATACAAACAAGTGCCTACAATGTTAGTCCCAGGCTCAGGGCTTTACAGAGAACACAGCCCACATTTAGCACCTACTGTGTGCAAAGGTCTTTATAGATCAGAGTTCTTATTTACTGAGCATCTATTATGGGCTGGGCATCATAATGGCCCTCTAAACATAAAAATAGTAATTGCCTTTTATGCAGCACTTACTGTGTGCCAGGCATTGTGCTAGGGGGTTAACTGAGAAACAGTAACAATTCCCACAAATTAAATACCTACTACGTGCTAGGCACCATACTAAGGCCCTTATAGAACACTAATAGTTCTCACTTAAGCACCTACTGTGTGGCAAGAACTGTATTTTTGTTTGTTTTTAAATATACCTCTATTGATTTCACAGAGAGGAAGGGAGAGGGAGAGAGAGAGAGAAACATCAATGATGAGAGTCACTGATTCCCTGTCTCCTGCACGCCCCCCAATGGGGATCGAGCCTACAACCCAGGCACGTGCCCTGACTGGGAATCAAACCGCCATTTCCTGGATCCTAGGTCAACACTCAACCACTGAGCGATGCCAGCCAGGCAATAACGGTATTAATAACAGTAGTAGTCCCCATACATTACGTACCTATTGTATGCCAGGCACTATGCTGAGGGCTTTACTGGATAACGGTAGTAGTTCCCATGTATTAAACACCTACTGTATGCCAGACACTATGCTAAGGGCCTTATATAAAAATGGTAATAGTTCTTATTGAGCACCTACTATTTGCATGCATGGTGCCAAGAGCTTTGCAGATAATAACTCCATGTTTTGAGCAAAACCTGTGTACCAGCACCATGTCAGGCCTTTTCAGAATGACAATGGCTCCCATCTGAGCATCTACTTTGTGCCTAGTACCAGGCCAACCTCTTTAAAGAAAGTACCACTTACTGAGCACTTAATGTATGCCAGGCATTGTGCCAAGGACTTTGCAGAACAATAATAGTAGCCCCCATGTTCTGGGTGCCTACTGTGTGCCAGGCATGAGGTTAACCTTGGGACAAACTGCTAATAGCATTCCATTCATTGAATGCCAACTATATGCCTAGCACCATGACAATCCATGTTTAGATTTAAAACAGCAGCTGCATATATGGAACACCTACTGCGTGCTAGGCACTGTGCTAACAGTGACAGTTCTCATATATTAAGCACCTACTGTGTGTTCAAAGCTTTATGAAATAACAGTAATAGTTTCCATGTGTTAAGCATCTACAATGGGCAGATCCTGTGCCATGGGCATTACTGATAATAAATCTCAAGTTCTATGTACCTTTTTTGCACACCCAGAACCCTAAGCCTTTATAGACTCAAAATGCATTCCACTGGTCATGCCTCACTTAATACTCATGACCCCCCTAGGGAGCCGGAACTATCACCCCTACAGCTCTACCCATGTTATAGGTGGTAAAAGCAGGTTCAAAACCCATCTGCTTGGTTTTCTGTTATCACTGATTCAGTACCTACTGGATGCCAGGCCCCCACCCATCCTGGTGCTTTTCATATATCACCTCCCATTTTATAGGTGAAAAAACTGCGGCTGGGAAATGATAAGGTGCCTGCCCAAGGGCAAGAGGCAGGGTCTGAACCTAGGCTCAGCTGTTCTCCAAGGACTGCCTCAGCTTGAGGCTGGGAATTCTGACCTCAGCCTGTACCTTCTATCAGCTCAGGCCAGTTGGGGATGGCTGGAGCCACACTGCCTCAGCTGCAGGCCTTGAGAGTTGGCCTTGCTTGATGTCAAGGACCTTCACCATCATGCTAGCCTCGTTTGTTCACTGAACATGTGTTTATAGTATTTACCACATGCGCAGCCTGTGCTAGACCCTGGGATCCAGAGATGAATCACAAGCCCGTCTTCAAAGTCATCAGGCTATGAGAGGCCCCAGAGGCCATTCCATTGACTTACTTCAACTAGAATGATCCCCCAGCCTCACTTAAAGTGAAATACCGGAACGCTCTCCTTCAAAACTAGACACTTTGGGTCCCCTCCCCCATTTCTTGACCAGCCATCCCAACCAAAAATGCCCAAGGGAATCAGGCAGGAGCGAAAAAACCAATTAAGGAATGTGCTGGAAGGAATGGATTTGCTGAGAAAGGGGGAGGAAAAATAAAACCAAAACCATAATAAAATACAAAACAACGGTGATAGTGATGATGATGAGGAAAACCATAATAAAAGAAAGACGCCTTCCAGAATACTCCCAGTCTGGTTACCTACCTTCCACTCTTCAACTGCTAACTTATAAGACTTTCTTACGAGGGAGGGAATGGCGAATGCTGAGCTACAAGGCCAGACCGAGCTCTGGGTGGGTCTCCAGACGCGCGGGCCTACAGCCCTGCTCGGCCCGTGCGGGCACGCTGCGGTTCCGGACAGGTGCCGACGAGGCGGGAAGGCGGGGCGGTGTCTGGGGAGACCCACGGCTGAGTGGTCTGGCCTCCACCTACCCTTGAGTTCAGCCTAAGAAGCCCGCAGCCCCCGGGGGGGTACGCCTGGCCCTGAGTCTTGGCTGCCAGTTTTCTCAGGCCCCACCCGTCTGAGGGCGAGAAGTGGAGAGTCCCTTCTCCCCTGGTCCCTGTCCTGGGCCGCCCCCGAGGTTCGCATGGCTGGGCCAAAGCCACTTTGTTGACGACCCTGGAGGCCGCCTCCTTCACAATCCGGCCCAACCTGCATGACGTCTTGAGAGGGGGTGGGGATGGACAGAAATACAGACACACGTGTGCAGCAGCACGGGATTCCGGACTCACCATTTCTGGCAGGTGTGCCTCTTGACCGTGCAGCGGAGAATTTGGGGGGCTGAATTTGGGCTCTGGACTGCTCGTGCAGCCCAGAGCTACTGGGGCAGGCGGGGAGCACGCAGGGTGGGCCGTCTTTGTGAACCTGCTTGAGGCCAGCGCGTACTCACCTTTGAGGCACCTGTGCCAGTCTCTCACGTGGCACCCAAGCCACAGGACACCCTCACTGATCGCCTCACGCACAAACACGCCCAGATGCCTGTGACCTGCAGAGCGCTGGGCTCGGCATGGAGGAGCACGCAGGAGCAGGGAGGGGGGAGGGGTGGGGGAGTGCTGTGTCTCCGAGGCCCCTGATCCCAGCAGCTCAGACACCCTGGCCCGAGTTGCTGTCACTCTCGACTGACCCGTGATTCCCCCCAGGTGCACACACCCAGGGGGGCTTGAATGTTTGAACACTGAAGCTGCTTCCAGTACAAGGCCTGGGTGGCTACACGTGACTGACTGAGAAGTGGGAGGGGAGGAGGGGCGCAACGACGAAGGCCACAGCAGTGGGTACCACGGCGGCGGAGGCCACACCAGAGGCCACGCCAGGCTACACTGAGCAGAGAGGAGAGAGCAGAAGGAAGAGAGGGAGGCAGGGAACAGTAGGAGGAGGGGCCTGTGTAGGCCCTGAGCTCGGAGGAGGCAGAGAGGGCAATGTCGAGGGCCACCGTGTGGCCCAGAGCCAGCTCCTGGCTGTAGTGTCCTGGCCAAAAGGTAACTTGTTTGTGACAGGGAGGCCAGGCAGGTACAGCAAAGAACTCTAGGAATTTGGGCCCTGCGCTATCCCCAAAACCCAGTGTCAGCTCTGGTTCCCACCACCCGTCCTTGGTCATGGGGACCCTGTGTTGGGGGGGAAGGGCCACCTGGGGAGATGGTCTCTGCACCCTTTTCTCTCTCTGGGGTGTGAGCTGTTACAGCCTCATGTACCCCTCTAATTAGCCCCAAATCAGGGAGAGGAAGAGGAGAGAGGTGCAGTCAGGAACTCCTCCCAAACTAAGGGGAAAAGCCACAAAACTGGTCCCCAGGAAGACAGAGAAGCCAGAGCCCGTAGGACCCCACGGCCCTGGTGGGGAAAGTGAGGACAGCGCCGGTGGACAGGTCTGAGGTCAAGGAGCGAGGAGGGCATGGGCCAGAGGCACCCCCACCCCCTATCCTATGGCAGGCTCCTCCTGGGTCAACGCACAGAGGACGTCTGTGACGGCCGAGGGTCCCCCCAGAAGATGAGGGCGGGTCCGCGAGACACCTACTGGACTGCAGCGTGCGCTGCCGAACCACCGAGGTGAAGGCGCCCAGGCCCTGCGGGGAGCGCGCCGCCAGGCGGAAGGCATACTCCGTGTTGGGCTTCAGGTCGTCCACCACGAACGCTGTGGCTGGGTCGAAGGTCCTCCCGACCTGGGAGCAGGGGCAGGGGCGGGAAGAGAGGCACACAGAGACACAGAGGGAGACAGAGAGACACAGAGAGACAGAGATATAGAAGCAGAGACAGAGATACAGAGATGACAACAGAGACATAAACAGACACACACAGAGAAACAGATGGAAACAGGCATAACAGAGAGACAGAGATTATGAGACAGAAACACAAATAAGACACAGGAAAAGAGAAATGGAGAGACACACAGAAACACCAATGAATTAGAGAGAGAGAGACAGGAGAGAAAAGGGAGATAAAGTGGGCAGAGGGAAGGGGGAGAAAGAGACAGAGACACAGAAAGAGATAGAGAAACAGGAGAGAGGTGGGAAAATTAGCAATACACAGGCAAAAAGCAGGGGAAAGAGACATCCAGGCAGAGTCAGGGAGGTTCGAGAGGAAGCTCAGAGCAGGCGAGGGAGGCCCAGTGAGCGCCGCTGCAGCCTCGCCCCCCGCCTGGCTCCCCAGGTACCTCTCTGCCGTGGTCGCCTTCCCGGAACAGGAGCTCATACTTGACGATGCTCTCTTGCCTTGGGGGGCTCCACGAGAGCCCGATGCTTGTCTCAGACTTGGCCTCGGCCCGGAAGTTCATGGGCTGGCCAGGTACTGGGGGCGGAAAGGCAGAGGAACAGAAATCGGGGAGAGGCCAGGGAGGGGTCCACCCCTGGGGCACCTAACCTGCCACGTGTCTGCATTCTCCTCAAAGAGAGTCCTGTGGAGCTCAGGCTGTTTGTCTCCAGAGGCTTCCAGAATGTTCTCCCACTGGCCTTATTACTCCTGTTTTCCCGTGGGACCCCCTACTGCCTTCTTGTTGTCAGTTATCCACCTCAATTCTCCCACCCTCTCTGCATCCAATGGAAAAAACATTTACAAATCCCTTTTCAAATCACCCCAGCACCTTCCCCCTCCCTCAAATTGTCAGAGAAATTGGTGGGGACAATATTTGGAAATATGGATCTCCATCCTTTCCAATCTGTTGGCAGAATCCCAACCCTGCTATCCCTTCGCTTGGGTTGCCTCAGTCTTCCTGGATTTCAGGGTCAGGAAGTCTCAGCCCATGAGGGAAGGACCAGAAACATGCAGAGAGCTGGAGTACAAAACACCCAGATGCTCTCCACCCCAATGCCGGTCCTTCTACCTGAGTAGCGGGAGACCGGCCCACTGCCTTTGGGTCATGCACGTCCCATTTGTTATTTCAAAATGGGCAGCATGAATTTCTCCAATGAGAGCAGTGGACAGGGGCTCTCAAACTCAGATGCTGACAGGCTGGGCAGTTAACGGAGAAGAGGGAGGCAACTGGAAACCGCACCCCTTTATTCAGATGCAGCCACGGGGATCTTTCTGGATGTCTGACTATAGCCCCGTGGGCTTGCCAAATCAGATTTTCCAAGTACAGCCAGAAATTTGGGTTTTCTGGGACAACTTCCTGCTTTGAAACGCTAGCATGAAAATATTTTAAAGCATCGTGTGGGACAAATAAATCACTTTGTGTCTTCCAGGCAAGATCTGCCAGCTGCCTATTAGGAGGAAGCACATCATCGCACCATTGCCTCTCCCTCTGCTGGGACACCCCAAATCCTGCTGTCCTCACAGAAGCCATGCTCACAGGCATCTCACCTCCCTGCTGTGTCTTGACCTGGATGGGGTCTGAGAGGGGTCCGTCGCCCACAGAGGTGAAGGCCAGCACACGCACGGTGTAGGTCTCGTCCTCCAGCAGGCTGCCCACGGTGGTCAGCAGGCTGTCGTCCACATTGTGCTTCTGCCAGTTGCCCACAGGGTGCTCGGGTTCCATGGTGTAGTAGATCCTGTAGCCTCGGATCAGGCCGTTGGGCTCCACGGGTTCTTCCCACTGGATGATCATGGTGGTGGCACTCAGCATGCGGGCCTGCACATTACGCGGTGCACTGGCTGGGGCCTGCTCGCCCGTGCGGGTGACCACTGACTCACTGGGGGGACCCTGGCCAATGGAGTTAACAGCTGACACCCAGATCTCATACTCGGAGTTGGGGCTCAGGCCGCCAATGCTGTAACGTGTCGTGGTGATGTCTTCTTTGATCTGGTACGGCCCATCCTGGCTCTTGGATTTGTACTCGATGACGTAGTAGGACACAGGGTCTGGGTTACCCGAGTCCCATGTGATGGTGATGCTCGTAGCTGTATTCTCTGTCACCACTGGAGTCCCGGGGGCTTTAGGGAGAGCTGTGGGTGGGGGGCATGGTCACACGTTGGGCATGTTGCCTGCAGGCCTTGAAAACTGTGTGACTTTCTGCTACACAACTGCCCTCTCTGAGCCTTAATTTCCTTGGCAGTGACCACGGGCCTAAGGACCCGACCCCTATCCCATTACCTGTAGCAGGGGTCAGCAAATGAAGGTCCAAAGGCTGGCACCTATTTTTATAAATACAGTTTTATTGGAGCAGCGCTTACTTATTGCTTTTCTGTCACAGTGTAACAGTAGCCATGACAGGACAGATGAGTGCATGCAGCAGAGGCTAGTTGGCCTGTAAAGCTGAAAATACTGACTTTAAAAAAAAAATTGCTATTTAACAAAAATATTTATATTTGAAGCAAACACTGGCGGACCCTGGTCCACAGCTCTCTCTGCGGTCACTCTGCTCAGACACGGGGCCCTTCTGTCTGCTCCCACTTCCTGTTCCAGTACCTGCAGTGCCCAGATGGACGCCTGGCCAGCTCCTTCTAAAATCACCCCTTAAGCCCTCATTCACCACCAGGCTAGAGGCTACTTTGCCCAGTTCTTATCACACACAAGGTTATCTCATTTTCACATGTGTCTGTTCTCCCCACCAGCAGAGCTCAAGTTTTGTTTACAGCTGTGTCCCTGCACCTGGATAATTGTGACTTTCTCTACCACTCGTCCCAAGATGTCACACCACACAGGCCCAGGAAGCATTCACCAAGAGTCCAATCCCTCGGGAAAATGACCAACAAACCGTTAGCTGACCTAGGGCAGGGCTCATTAAACTTATCCTGCAAAAGCCCAGAGTGTAAATACTTTTAGCTTTGCAGGCATTTGTGGAGACTAAGCTCTGCCTTTGTAGCCAGAAAGCTTCCACAGATAAGGCGTGAGCCAATGGGTGTGTGCCAATAAAACTTTCATTTTTAAAAAAGTTTAGGGCTGCAGTTTGCTGGCCCCTGTTCTAAAGCTAGAAAAATATTTGTGGGCACCTTCCTCTGAATCTCACCACAAACTTGAGACACAGGGAGAATCTGTAGTCCTCACACCTTACCCTCCGTATCTCTCTGAGTCTTTGCACAAGCTATTCCCTTTTCTTAAAACTGTGCCCCATCTTCTTCGGCTTATTCCCTTTCAACTTTTAGTCTTTCCCTGACCTAACTTTCCTGGGTGATGGGGCCTTTACTCTGGGGTGTGAATGGCCCAATGTACCCCCCATCACAACCCTAATTAGCATGTATCATAGCTACATGGCTGCGCAGGCATCTCCCACGTTGGACTGTGGGGTCAACAGAGCAAAACTATGCCTCACGCCATGGGGCCAGGCCCAGAATAATTTATAACCAATAAATATATGTCCACAGAACTGTCCCCTTCAAAGCCACAAATGTCCAATGCCAAAACTCAGAGGTTTTCCACCTGTACCCCATCACCTGAACCTGAGGTCCCTCCACCTACCTCCCCCGTGCCCCCTGCTTACATTTCACCGTGATCTGGGCCACAGCCTCGATGACGCCCAGGCTGGACATGGCTACACACGTGTAGTTGGCAGAGTCCTTGACATCTGTGAGTTCCAGCACGTTCCGACCCACGGGCATGTCATCTTCGGGTGTCAGGTCCTCAGCTCCCTGCATCCACTTGACATATGGCATGGGTGAGCCCACGGCTACACAGGTGATGTTCACGTTGCCACCTGGCATGATCTCGTGGCTCATGGGCAAGATGGAGAATCGAGGAGCCACGCGGCGGACTGGGGGCAGGAGGGAGATGCATGGGGTTGGGTGTGGGGGGCAGAATGCAGAGGAAAAAAGAAAGAAAAGCAAGAAGATGAAAGAAAGAAAGAAAAAGAGAGAGAAAGAGAGAGAGAGAGAGAGAGAGAGAGAGGGAAAGAAAGAAAGAAAGAAAGAAAGAAAGAAAGAAAGAAAGAAAGAAAGAAAGAAAGAAAGAAAGAAAGAAAGAGAGAGAGAGAGAAGAGAAAAGAAGGAAGAAAGGAAGAAGAAAGAAAAAAAGGGGGGGAAAAAGCGGAAAACAATTTAAATATAAATGGCTGTTTCTTTTCCCCCAGTTGAATTTTTTTTTTATTCCAAATGAAAAGAAAACAAAGAAGCCAAATTAAAACCAAATTCCAACACAAAGAAACCAAAACTTCAAAGGAAGGTACTTCACAAACAATAGAGATATATCGATATATAATCAGAGACATGAAGCATTATTTCATAGCAACAGGGTTTCAGAGACCAGAGGGACTGGTCACAGCACAGTTACAAACACAAAAATTTATCAGCTGTTTCTCATCTTTGATGACAGATGTGGCTTCAGGGAGCAGACCCTCCACACGCTCTCCCACGTGGGGAGCTTCAGAAGAGCCTGGCTGCATGTGGGGGACTCTGGGAAGGACGGAATGAAGAGGGAAAGTCAGGGGAAGAGTTGGAACCAGGAGGCACAGGGGGCCAGAATCTCGGCCGGCTGCCCACCCTCACCCCCCTGGTGACTTGGGCCCCACCCCCTTCCCTGGGGGCCCTCTAGGAAAAGATGAGAAACTCTAATGAAATTTTTGTGGTTTTTGGGTATAGAAACCCTTCTAAAAGCTTCTGTCGGATCTCACAAGTTTCCATTGATAAATGCAGCTCTCAGAGTCACAAACAGCATGCAAAAGAGATTGGTCAAGAGAAAGAGAAAAAGAAAGAAAAGGAGAGAGAGGCAGGAAGAGAACAGAGAGCTAATGCATTGAAGAGGCCTGGATCTCAGGGGCCTGAGTGCACACTCGTGTGGGTACCAGAGAGAAGAGACAGACGAGGCAAGAGAGAGAAAAAGAACACAGGGAGAGGGACAGAGAGAGGGGGGGACAGAGACAGAGAGGAGGAGGGAGGGGGCCCACTTCAATGCTGCATATTAATTCTAGCGGATGTGACCCAATGTGACATGTCACATTGTTACATCACAGCCCTGGCAGAATACAACAATAATAATAATAATAAACGTGGGGAATGAACTTGAACGCTGAGAAAACAGGGACATGTTCTGTGCATTTCTTAGCAGGAAAGCGGATGCAGCCTTCTGGCCCCATCTCGCAGACCATGAAGGCAGCAGGACGCATTTCGGGGGCTCCATTTTCAGAAGTTGGACAGGTTTCTGGGTCGGGGGGTGTGGTGAGGGGCTCATGCTAACGGGCGCCTGAACTTCTAAATGGCTTGCTGCCCCTAAGGGAGGTATAACCGCAGTGGGAAAGACTGAGGTTAGCCTAGTAAATCCTTCCAGCCAGGCAGAGCTTGTCCCTGGCTAAGATCTTGGGGCTTTAAAAAGCCACGTGGGCAGATCCCCAGCTTTGGGTGGGCCAGGGAGTCTTGTCTCTAACTGTAGAGAGGACAGAGTAGAGTCTCAAAAGGCAAAACAGGGCCACAACTTTCAGCATTCCGACCTGCCTCTAATTTTCACATGGTATTGGGGGTACAGATGCACCCCTAAGAGGGTGTTTGTAGGGGGTGTAGCCTGCTCTACAGAGGAGGGGGCTACAGGGATAAAAGAAGGCAGCCTGGGTTCCCAGCAGAAACCCTAACCTCTGCTCTCTGAATCTCTGAATGGAGGCAAAGAGAAGGGGGGGCTCTGGGAGGGTAGGGAGGAGGGCCAAGACGCTGGCAGCCCTTCGGAAAAGGAAGCCCCACGAAAAGTCCAGAGTCATGTTGGAGACAGGATGGAGGAAGTGGAAGGTATCCCCTGAGGGGAGGAGTGGGACTGGGACAGGGAAAGGAGACAGAGGGGCCATGCTGACAGACTGGGGGTAATGGGTGGGGCTCTGAGATGGGGGGTGGCTTTCCGGCAGGGCTGGGGGGAGGGAGTCGGGGGAAGAGAATGGGGTCCGGCCAGCCAGCGGACGTGGTCCAGGCCAGCCACCGCCGCCAGCATCCACAGCGAGGCATACCAGTGGGATGCCCTACGCTGCGTTGTCATGGAAACGGAACACGATGGGGGATGAGCGTGGGGAGCTAATTAATCAAGGACAGAAAACGGCATCGACGTCCAAGCCAGAAGAAACAAATGAAGAAACAAAGCGGAAAAAAAGAAAAATCCAAAACACCAACCAAACAAAAATTCTTCCAAAACAAAACACCCAAAAGCAAGAAGAAAAGAAAAAAACATGGAATGGGTGTGGGGCTGAAAATCGGGGTCTGAAAGGAGGAGGGCTGTGGCTTCCCCGGGGAGGTGCCCCCCACCCCTGGCAGAACACAGGGTCTGGCCCCCCTACCCAGCACCCAAGAGCCTCGGCGGCCACAGAGGTGACATCCTCGCAGAGAAAGAACGTTCGGGGCAAACCAGCCCGGCCCCACTGGAGCCCCTCTCTATAAAGCCTCTATAGGCCCACTTCTCAGTGACACCTTGCCTGTCATTTGGGGCTGAACAAAAACTAGAGGACCAGACACTAATTGCACAATAAGGTCAACTCCTTGAGGCCTCAGAAAACCTCTCTGGGCAGAAGTGGGGGTGCTGATGTGGCTGAATGAGCCCTGTGGCTTTGGGAAGATCCCTCATCCTTCTGGAGCCCCAGTTTCCTCATATGTAACATGGAGGCAATCAATGACATTCAAGGCCACTAAACTGCCTGGGGCAGTGCCTAGAACAGAGCTCAGCCTGGCATGGGACTAGTGAAGTTTCCTTCTGGACTTCCAGGGTGCTGGGAAGATCAACTAGATTCTCTACCTTAAGAGAGTTTGGGGATGGATTACAATTAAAACATTTTTTTAAAAGGAAATAGTAAAAACTTCTACTAAATCCCCATCTCACTTTATTCTGCCCCCCCCCAACTTTGAGAGGCAAATGTTCTAATGCCAGTTTTGTGGGTGAGGGAGTAGAGGCTCAGAGAGGTGATAGGGCCAGCTGAGAGAGACAAAGGAAGGAAGTGATGGAGCCAGAGATCAAAGCCAGGCATGCCTGGCTCCTGCCTCGGATAAAGTGAGACTTCTGTCACCTATAGGTAGCAAGAATTATAGCCAGATGTCCCTTTTTGGCATTTGGCTCTTTCAAACTTGTGTGTCCTTACCCACTGAAGACACCAAAGAGGGCAAAAGTACCCATCGCCTATATACTGCTATCAACTGAATAATGCCCAGTAACCGCCAGTTGGATAACAACCAGCAGCCATCAAAATAGATGCCCAGAAGCCTTCAGTAAAAGGCTTACACTGAAAGGGATTGTTGGAACATCAAAGGGCATAAGAGCTTTAGAATTTAAAGATTAAATGTGAGCCCGATTTATTCCTCTGTAAGGCTCAACATCTTGCCCAAAAGATCTTGTTCACATCTGATCTTAACATATCTTCCCTTAGCACCCAGCCAGGCGTGGCTCAGCGGTTGAGCATTGACCTAGGATCCAGGAGATCGTGGTTCGACTCCCGGTCAGGACACATGCCCGGGTTGCGGGCTCGATCTCCAGTCGGGGCCGTGCAGGATCAATGACTCTCTCATCATTGATGTTTCTCTCTCTCTCCCCCTCTCCCTTCCTCTCTCTGAAATCAATAAAAATATGTTACCAAAAAAAAAAAATTCTTCCCTTAGGAAGTATCATCATTTGGAAGGTACCTTTTTTCAGAAGTAGAGACAAGGCATACATCTTGAAAAAGTAAAAGACTTGCCGTGCAAGGCTGTTAACTATAAGTCAGTTAAATGTGGGAGGGCAGTTATCAACAACAGTAATTTTAGTGCTTATGATCCCCAACATGGCCGGCAGCCATCAGTTAAATGGATCTGCCAATAGCTATAAAAGCTGACACCTAAGACACTTTGCCCACTTGCTTTCTCACCCACCCTATTCATTTCTAAGGGTGTGATGTGGGGAGAGGGCTGGTTCGCCACGAATTTGGGGAGGACTGTGCCCATTGGCACTAGGTGACTCAGAACCCCCTTGGGGGTCTCATAAGGCTTCCAGGCATCCTCCCAGCTGGCAAGGACGGGCGGCTGACGCTGTGTTCTGCCCAGTTTGGTGCTGACACCCACCCATGTCATCTTTCCACCCCCGGCTGCAAGTTTGAGGTGCGGGTGAGAAAGTAAGGTGGGCGAGGAGCCCACGGGACAGAGTGGCCCCGCGGGACCCCCGCCCCCAATTACCGACCTGAATGGAGGGTCCAGGCAGGTTATAAGGGGACCACACCAGCCTTGGTCCTCAGCACGCTCCAGCTGGCTCTCGTTTCCAGCTCTTCTCATCACCGAGTAGCCGGGGGTCCCAGCGGGGGGACCCGCATGGGTGAGGGGGTCAGGAA